CCGAGCCCGCCGGAGGCTCGGGGAAGCGGGTGTCCCCGCGCACCGCGCTTACCTGGGCTCTGGCGAGGAGACAGCTGCCGAGCATCAGCCACCCCCAGGCGTGGGGCGGCGCACTCAGCATGGCCATGCCCGGAACCGTCGGAGCCAGCAGAGACCTCTTCACCGAGCCCAGGAGAAGCGCCCAGACTCGCCAACCTGCTGGCGCGGGGCAAACTCGTGGCCTGGGAGGACGCGCTGGGGGGCGGCGGAACCTGGGGCCGGTGACCCAGGGTGCCGGGGTCTGACCGCCCGCCCGCTCTTCTCGGGACTCAGGTCCTGCGGCGCGGCGCGTTGGTTCGGGGTTGGTCTGGTCTTTCAGGGAGAGCGGCTGGAGTACCGGGCGTAAATCGCAGCCCCGTGGGCGGAGGGGGCGGCAGGAAGGGGGCGGCCCCGCGCCCTGCGGATCCGAGCTGGGCCCGCGCGGCTGCAGGCGCGGCGAGGAGGTGCTCCCGCTTCTCCTCCGAAGCACGCGGTCCCGCAGCCCAGGGGGTGGGAAATCAAACGATCCAAAGGCGCTGTTGCCACTCAGACCCGCACCTTCTGTGCGTCCCTCCACTCCGACCTGGGTTCCAGCGCCGTCTCTAGGGGTGCCCTGGGTCCTGGCAAGTGATTTGAGTTCCTGTCCTGCCCTGACGCGCTCGAACCTCACCTACGGAGACAGGGGGCGGTGAGGTCGGACGGACAGCCTCTATAGCCTTCTAAAGTTCTCTGATTCACTTTCTCCTGACCATTCTAATAATAATGTGTGTGTGTGTGTGTGTTAGAATGGATGGGTAGGTGGACGGATGGGTAGATAGACAGCGATGGATGATAGAGATGGAGACATACGTATTTCTGGGTCAAATTTCTTTTTATGGCGTTCTGAGTTTGGGATCCAGGCATTAAAGAAAGTTAATATTCTTTAACACTTTTGTGGGAAAGGAGGAGTGGTTATAAACACCATTTGGGACAAAGTAATGTTCTTATATTTTTTCTTAGGGTCATAGTCATCAAGATGCCGGAGACCTTACTTTACAGACTGAGCCTCCCAGGGTCTGATACAGTTGGGAAGGAATGACTCCCACAGATGGAGCACAATTCTCTCAATTCTCTCTTGAAAATGATCTGAGATTTCTCACAAACCAGCTTACCTGCAGGTCGATTGCTGGCCAGCTCTAAAACAGAAAGGAAGGGCTTTTATTTCTACTTCTACATGTCTGAAAAGTTCGCTCTCATCTCTATTTTATTGGCATTGCTTATGTACAGAATCCATATTACGTAATATACACACACAGTCACCAGCCTGCAAAATCACTAGGTGAAGTTCACATTCCACCAAAGATTTGTTTTTTTGTTTTGTGTTTGGTGGTACTTTTGGTTTTTTTGTTTTGTGTTTTTGTTTTTGTTTTTGTTGTTGTTTTTTTGACAGGATCTCACCATTTGGCATTTATCCTGCTTCAGCCTCCCAGAGTCTGGGACTAGTTATCCACCACAGTATCCAGCCTTTTTTTTGGGGGGTGGGGTGGGGGTTTGAACTCCAGGTCATCTAGCTGGGCTTGTTTTGTTTTTTTAGCTTTTATTTTAGGGGGAGAGGGTGAGCTTTGTTCCAAATTTAACTCTCTAGTCAAGATTATCTAAAATCTTTAGTTTGACCAAAAGTTTTAGAAGTATTTCCTGTGACATTACCCTATTCAAACAAGGAAATAATGCAATGGTAATAATAGCGTTTACTAGTGCTTTATTCCATTCCAGTTACTCTTCTAAGAACTTTGCATTAAATTAGTAATGTTTACATTAACCCCATGGGATGTAGCTATTATTGTGTATTTTCATAAATGAGGAAATAGACACTAGCCATTGGCCCACCTTCCAGATATTCTGTCACCGGAACACTGCTGTTGATCTGTTCTCCTACTGGTGCAAGAATATTAATACAAATTTTGTCACAAAATTGGGAATGCTTTTTCACACAGTTTTTCTTTTCACTTTCCAAATGTTGAAAATAATTTTCCGTGCTTTACAGCAGGGAATCTGAGCCCTGAGCACAGCCCCTCCTCCCCCCAGGACACATGGCAACGTCTGAGAACATTTTTGCTGTGGCTCACTACGTGCTGCTGTTTTGTAGTGGGTAGAAACCAGGGATTCTGCTCAACATCCTCACAGAACACTCCTTGAAATAAAGAAATATCATTAGTATCAAGGATGAGAAACCTTAAATTACAGCAAATAGGGTACCAAAGTCTCTTAGCTGTTTATTTGTTAACTTTAGAGAGATTTTTGCTATAGGGCCTATGGACTCACTGGAGACCCAGAGAGAGACAGAGAAACAGAAAGTGAGAAATCACCTCACTGGGGGGCGAAGGCCACACTGCAATCACTTCTCCTCCCTTAGGCATGCATACACAGCCACCTGGTGTGAGTTTTAAGCACCAGGTCTGGGACTTAAATGTGGGAATCCAGTGACATAACCATTACACCATCCACTGGTCCCTCTTAGCTGTTTATTAACTAAACATTCGAAAAATAAGAGAGTCCTCCACACTGGAACTTACCTTCAATTTTTGTAAACTCACACATACAAACAGGTGTAAATCCACAACTCTAGACCGAAAACATTCAAAACCTCACTGATATTAAACTGTGGGAAATGAAAAATGTTAAGTTCTTTTTTTGAAAAATGCATAAGCCCCTGTGGTTAGTTTAGATGTAACTTGATTGGGGTAAGCGTAGATTTGGTGCGCCCGAATAGCTGGTAATGCATCATTTCCGAGTGTCTGTGAGGGTGTATCTGGAAGAGGCTGTGTTTGAATGAGGCAACCGAGAGGGGACAATCTGCTCTCATTCAATGTATGCAAGCACTGTCCTGCCGGTTGAGGACCTGAGTTGAACAGAAGCAGAGCTCTCTCCTGGAGCTGGAACACCCATCTTCGCCTGCTCTCAGACACAGAGCTCTAGACTCTTAGGCCTTTGGACTCCGACTGGGTTACCAACAGCTTTCCTGATGATCCCCCTGCAGATGGTAGATCGTGGGACTTCTTGGCCTCAGTAATCACAGGCACCAGTTCCCATAATAAATTCCCTCTTACTTAGCTATCTAGATATACCCTATCTGGTTCTGTGTCTCTGGAGAGCTCTGACTAATACACTGCGATATTATTAGGGTATTTGTGACTCTCGCCATAAACTATATAATCGCTTATATGATGGGTATATTTGGAATAATTCATTAACATTATTTTAAAATTTTATTTATTATGTTCATTATTATTTAATTCACCAGAGAGAAACAGAGAGAGAGAGGGAAAGTAAGACAGCAAGCCGCTGGGTCTGGGAATCCATGATTAAGGGAAACCCTAACCACTACATCTGCTGGCCCCTGGTTTACATTATTTGCAAACATAACTTTATAAAAATAAATAAATAAACTTTGGCCTAGCTGTGCTGGCATAGTCGGTAGACTGTCACTCGCTGCACATTAGTGAGGTCACGTGAAGGGCCCAGATTTGGATCCCAAGGTGACATTAGGCATGTCCAAGCATCCTTGATTCTGGCTGGCTGCAAGTCTGAGGTGAGGAATGTGGTGTGGTGAGACCCTATCAAGGGTTCTCTCTCTCGTCTCTCACAAGAAATAAAATAAAACTTTTTATGCAAAGTTGATGGAATCACACACCAAAACTCTACACATGACATCTTGCCTACCCTTATAATGAGTGAAAGGTGGATGGCAAGCTGGATCATTCCCATTTACCTGTAAAAAACAGGATCTTATGATAATTTTGTGTGTGAGAGAGAGATTTTTGCTATAGTGCACCTGAGCTCACTCGAGAGGAGACAGAGAGACAGAAAGCTTGAAATCACCCCCCGGGGAGGATGATCACACGGCAATCCCTTCTCCATTCTTCTCTCGGGATCTTGGGCACACATGCACATGCACCCAGCATGAGTTTTATATATATATATATTTTTTTTTCGCCGCAATCCACGCACGCACACGCACCCGGCGTGAGTTTTAAGCCACCGGGTCCGGGACGCGAACCACGGTCGACTACGTGGGAGTCCAGCGACATAGCCATTACGCTAACTGCTGGTTCCCCACCCAGCATGAGTTTTAAGTCACCAGGTGCAGGACTTGAAACGCTGTCAACTATGTGGGAGTCCAGCAATGTAACCATTACGCCACCTGCTGGTCTCTTTTACAATACTTTTAGGACTGGATCCTGAGCAAGGTGCAGTCCCATGCAAAGTATCTGGTTTTTCCTGCCAAAGTTTCATTTTGTTTACTGCTACTGCTTCTGTATTTGTTATTTGTTTTTTGTTTGTTTGTTTGTTTGTCTTTTACAGGCATATGTCCCATACTGACCAGCTGCACCAGAGTCAGCTGGCATGCCTGTTGAAATACACGTTCCTGGGCTGTACCTTGGACTCGCTGGATCATCGTGACAATGATTCTTGACCACCTATTGTGGTAGGCAGTTAGTTAGCCATGAGCGGGCAGCCCTAAGAGAAAAGCGAAAGGCTCACCTAGCCCCAGGCACCAGGAAGGCGAGGCAGTTTCCCATCTTCCTTCCTTGGGGCCTGACGGAAGCACACAGAGATGATTCGTAGATTTTTCTCTTTTCAAAAAGATCCAAGAAAGCATTTTGGTAAACACCCTAATCCCCAAGTAAGCATTTTGGTCAACACCCTAATTCCCACTAGGTCAACGCCCTAATTCTCATTAGGACAATAAATTAATTAGGCAGTCTGATTAAACAACCTGGCTCACACTGGGCATGCGCAATAAGGTAATCACATTCCCCATTCCTTACCTGTGAGAAAAGTGCGCAAGAGCAGAAGAAAATGCGAGAATTCAGATTCAAACTAAGGACATAGGTAGTACGACAGACCTCCCACCAATAAATATTCATGATCACTTCTAGTAATAAAAGTAACACTTAACCAGTATCAAGCACAGTTGCCACCTGGCAATCTGCCCACCCAAGAGCCTTTTGGGTGTACTTTGCTTTCTTTCTTATTAAATCTTCTTTTCTACCTACTTCATTTGTGGTTGCGGTTTCATTTTGAGCCTAGGGACAGATCTCTAATTTTAGTGATCTGGACCCAAAGAACCAAGGATTTCACAGGGCAGCTTGACACTCTCCCATCCATTAACATTTTTGGCGCCATGTAAATCATTGAACACCGTCTTAAAATAAACTTTAACTTGAATTTTTGTTTAAAATATATGCTCGGATTTAAGCCTTATTGTGAATGTTTACAAATTAGATCTATTTATAGTTTCAATGAAGCATTTCCCTACCCTCTGGCATTTGTTGATATTATTTTTCAGAATTTTGCCAATGTGGGAACCAGCAGTTAGCATAATGGCTGTGTCGCTGGACTCCCACGTAGTCGACCATGGTTTGAGTCCTGAACCCGGTGGTTTAAAACTCACACTAGGCGCATGTGCATGCGTGCCCAAGGTCCCGAGAGGAGAATGGAGGAGAAGGGATTATGGTGTGGCCCACCTCCCTGGGAAGTGATTTCTTGCTTTCTGTCTCTCTGTCTCTCTCTGTCTGGCGAGCGCACGTGCCCTCTCAAAGAAAAAAAAATAAAGAATTTTGCCAATGTAA